GAATGACGGGTGACCGAAATAAAATTAAAACATAATGTTTTAGTTGTGATTTTGAAAAAAAAAAAATAACCAAAATAAAATAAAAGTGATAGTTAAAATACTAATTGTATAGTTTATCCTAAGTTGCATATAAGTGTTCAAACTGATTGTATTATTTTAAGTTACATAAGATATCATTGAACTTTAAGTGATATATTGTTTATACAACTGAATTTATTATTGCTCCTGTAATAGTATTAAAGTTTAGTTTTATTTTCAATTATTTCGATGGATTCTTAAATTTTAACGGTACTATGATGTGTATGGATCTTTTTATTATTGAAATGACATGGACAAAATGATGTCGCTTTAATGTAGTTATTAATATTGAAAACATCGTTTAGGACGCTAAATTTTAAGAGTGTATCGATTTTGTCATTAAACTTTAAAAAGATTCAATTATTGGCATTTAAATTTTTTTCGTTTAGGACACTAAACTTTTAGGTTCCGGGTTTGAGCACCATGATCGCCAGAAGCATGAACATTCAATATCAAATGATTCAGAGTTATCTTTAAACAAATATTATTTTGTATTTACCCAATATTAATTAAAAAAAACAGCATCATAATATATTATACAATTTTAAATAATATTTGATTTATTAAATAACATTACAAAGTCCACTTGCACGTAAAAAGATTATGAAGAAATATTTATGTAAAACATATATTATTAGAGAATCATTTAAATTGAAGTCAATGGTACTATAACATTATAAATAATTATAATTAAATTTTAACAAATATTCAAATAAATATATTTAATTAGAAGAGAAACTAAAAAAAAATGTAAAACATTGTGTAAATGGATCTTAACTCATATATATATATATATATATATATATATATATATATATATATATATATTATACACACAAAAGATAGATAATAACTGGGCCTAATGAGTTTTAAAATCCAGTTGAAGAGCAGGCCAAGTTGTGTTTTGCAGATGGATTAGCCTCACAAACCAAACCAAATGCAGCGGTGATAGTCTCTTTCATTTGATAATGGTGGAAACTGTGGAACCCTTTGTTTGTGTTTTGAAATACTGGCCGTCAACAGCATTTCGTCCATTATTCATTACCGAAACCCAGGTCAGTATACTTATTATATTGCTTTTTGTTAGATTTTGCATATCGTATTCCTTTTCATCTTCTTCTTGTTTGAAAGCAGTTTGTTTTATATCATATGCTTTTGAGAAGACTGTATAGAAAAATAAATGCGTTCAGCTTTGGAATGATTTGAAGGCTCTGGTTTAGTGACTCAGATTCATCACCCTGTCATTCCAAAAATGGAGGAGCAATCGTTTTTTGATAGAATGATCACGCACCTCCGTTCATCTTGCAAGTAAGATTGTTTTTATCTTTATTATGCAAATTTTGATTCAATTTTCATTTGAATAACACTTCTAGTTTGTTAATGATTTGAAGGTATTATACTGGTATCCTAAAGATCTTGGGCCGTCACGGGTTATCCATTCACATCCGAGCGTGAATTTGTGCAGCTCCTTCATCAAGGTCTTCCTGTTGTTGTTGCATTCACTATTAGGTTATCCAAAACCCCAAATCCCTTATTTTTTTCACACTTGTTTGTATACTTCCCTGGCTCATTCTTTATATCTTTTTTTTTCATATTGCAGGGGGAACTACACAAAGCATCTTGACAAAGTACTGGAGGAAGCTGCTGCTGAATTCTATCCGAATGTTAAATTTATGCGCGTAATTTTCCTTTTTCCTTCTGATAATGTTACCGGTCGTTACTCGTTTCGCTTCTACAATTTCATCGTCGTGCAGCTGTTCTTAGTATAACACTTGTCCAACATAAGCTAATATCCAGCTTCTTTCGACTTTGAAGCTTTGAATTTGAACCTTGGGGATCAGGGAATGGGATTTTATGAAATTGGAGAGGCTTCTGTCCCCGGATCAAGCCCATTTCTAAAGAGCTTTTATGCACCCAAACTACCATTGCACTTTAGTACAACCCCTAATTTTTGTAGTGATGACTGTGATATCGTGATAGTATTTGTGCCAACTTACTATGGGTTAGTTTCTTTATTCTTTCCTTACACTCACATTTTTGTTTCTTGTGTTATTCTCCTCAAGGTTGAGTGCCCAAAATATCCTGGGTTTTGTATAACACGGCAGAAGAAGGAATATCCATTCATTGAAATATTCATAGTCCAGAGCAAGTACGCTACTTCCCTTTATTTCTATTTTCTCCCTCTACTGTGCTATTTGCTTGTTTTGTTCTGTTGTAACCATTTGCCATTAACTGGTTAAAGCACCCAGAACTTAATGTTGTCTAGTTAGGAGTTGTTCAAGTACTGCATGATTTTTGTCTAACAAACATAAGCCTAACAGTTGCGAAAACTATAATAACCTGAATAAGATTCGTCTTTTGCACTTTCTACTACCTTGCTACTTCTGATTCAGTTATGGCTTCTTAACCAGTAGGCCTTTATAGAATCAGAGCACATAGCCAAGGTTGCTCCTGCAAAGCCTTGTTGCTTGTGAAGGTTTGCATGAAATTTGCCAGCTTTGCAGCCTTGCTGGTCATGATCATATGAATAAATTATCCGGTAAAATAAAATAAAATAATGGAAAGGAAAGGAAAGGAAAAGAAAGGAAAAGAAAAGAAAGAAATAGAGGAACCAGAACTCTTTCTCTTTTCCTAGTTAATGGAAAAACAGTTCCCATATATTCTGTTTTTGCCTGTAATTTTGTGAGACAAATGATGCATAAACTTGGAACAGTGTGTTGGTGTAGGGAAAAACCAAAAGTCAAAAGAAAGAAGGGTAATCTACTGCAATCAAGTGTTAATGACAAAAGTAAAGCCGCCACTGCATGTTATTCTTTAGTGTTTGCTTACTGCTAACTTCCAAATTAAAACAAATTTGAAATTACGAACCTCTTATTTCCATTTTGTGGCCAGTAAACCAATATGAATGTATATTTTAACAGTTTGAATATGCTATGGGGTTTGGTTAAGCTCCAGTGAGCAGGTGAGTTGACATGATATAGGCAAGATTAGACTTTTGTGGAACCGCGGAGTTGTTCCCTTTCAGTGGTTAGTCCGTGAGAGGGAGTTTTGATAAATAAAAATGAAACACTTAAGCTGCATTCAAATGAATCTTTCGTGTGCAAAATATGTTTTAACCCATAACCTATGTTGTAGTGTATGTTGGAGTCTAATATTTGTACTAATGTCAGAGTTCATGCCTGCATGTTTATGGATGTTGAATATTGTCAATTTGCACAAAATGATTTGCAGAAGATATTGATGTCGAAATCTTGTCACATATGGTGGCTGACTTACATTGTTATCATTTAATAAGAAATTCTATTGCAGGCTGTAAACCAAGGTAGGGTTGCTGATCCAAATATCACAAGATACTCCGTAAAAGTTCTACCTGTGAGTTCCTTTTTATCCTTTCCCCCTGAAAATTCCTCAGCATCACTGGTACCCTCAACGGTTCTTGAATTTTTTGCTTTGCAATATGTTTCGGTATGAAAATTCGGTTCAGATGAACTTTCACACATTTAATCTGCTTATATATACACATACATAGACATTGCAAGCAAATGCTTTTCATATATTAGGCTTGTGAGCATTATGTACATCAAATTGTATATACGTGCTCATCGTTAGTTTCATTTATTGGCCACTTGGTGTCATAACAATACGAGTGTTATTTCCAGATAACGATCTAGAATTTCACAATCGTATATACATATAAATTCTGGTAAAATGTAAACATACATATGTTTCGCCGAAGCAGTATTCTTTTCTTTAGCCACGAGTTTCTTCTCTGTGTTCATCGTTACTATTCGATATCCTAATAGTTTCTGTCCTTACATCTATGGAATCCAGTTCAATTATGATCTCAGCGCTTACGGATTTAGAGAATTCTTCAAGCGCCACGGGGTTCAGACATCGGATCCGAAGTAAAGACTCGGCGACATATATTGATCTCTTACTCCTTTTTTATTTACAAATCCTATAACATCATACATGGTACATGTACTTTGACTGAACGTCGACACTTTTAAAATGTCTATTGTGATACGGGGTGTCTCTTTGTTGTCATTAACCCTATAATTTTCATTAAAACTGTAAGATTTTTAGTCAGTTGCTTCATTTGCGACAAACATGCGGTGCAAGAATAAATTAAATTAAAAAGATCGTCTTCGTAATAGCCGATTCGAATTAATTGATCTTTCAATTTTGGCAAGAATATGTTCTTTTCATGGCATTTAATATCATCAACCCAAGTTTTAGGTTTTAGTTGTTCACACACACAAGCTTTCGATGCAACAACCTAATTATTTCATCTTATTCAACCCAGTCAAGACTGTGTTCGAATTCAGAGGGGCTTATTAATTTTTTTATTTGATCAATTTACGACCTACAAAAATCAATTAAGAAAAAATTATAAAAATTTATAATTTTTTGTAGGTACGGAATGGTTACATCTTTACAATGTAATGCACGTATATCTTATATACATAGCTGTTCGAGTTCGAAATAATTTTTAAGGAGAACAACGTCTTTTCAACAAGTGATCTTAGGAGACGTATTGAGATTCATTATTCTAAGAGTAGTGAATAAAAAAATATTTAAAAAGTAAGAAAAAAAAAGGTAGTAAAAGAGGGAAATAAGGTAATGCCGGCTGAATACGGAAAGTTTGAAGAAAAAAAAGCATTTTGGTACCAAAATTTATTGTAGATATTTACTCCCTGGGTGTCCCAACTATCAAAACCCTCTATAAAAGCCCTCTTCTTTCTTCCTACATTCCATTCATCCCCTTCTCTCGCAGATCACGCCTCTCTGGTTATATATTGCTCTCTCGTTCTCATCTCCTCCCTTCAAATGGTACGTTATACCTTTTCTATCTTCTCTCCATTAAACGCACTGTCTCATGCACATATTTTCGTTAAACTTGGAGTATTCTTCATTAAACGATGGTTTTCCGGTTATCTGGAACCAAGTTTTTAGATGCGGAACTCTGTTTTCCGGTAATAAATTCATTTTTTTACATAATATATAATATGTATTAGGAAATAAAAAGATATTCTTTAATTAAAAATATTTAATGATAAATTAAGATTATGTAAAGAAATAAAAAAAATCACCACAATATGATACTCATAATCTATATTGCATTGTCTAATCTTTAAACACAATTTTTTTATAAGATTAAAGCAGTTAATATTATTAAAATTAAAAAAAATTACGGCGAAAGTTTACAAATCACAATCGTAAATTAGCCACAACCTTGAAAACATAATTAGTTCTATAGTAGAAACTAAAATGATCAAAACAAATAGTTAAATAATTTTATAAACTGAATTTATATCAGTGAACCATTAATATAATTAGTATCGTTATTGTTATAATATTCAGGAGATTATGGCTTTGAGTGTACTTAAATACAATTGTGTCTCATTTAAAATTATAGATAATTTGGACGTTGTAATTTGTATATAAAAAATTATCATAAAATAAACAGATCTTTTTTTTAATTTTATATAATCACGTTTAGGTTATCCTGTCCGCTCCCTACCTTCTATGTATTATCAAGGACGGAACTAGGATGAAATTATGAAAAGGGTCAAATTGTTTATTTTTTAAATTAGCAAGGTTTTAAAAAATAATTAAATCATAAAAATATAAGATTATGGCTTAATTTCACTAATTTCAACATCGTCATGTCCTAAAATGTAACTAAACCAGAAAAATTAGGGGCAAAACTTAATTTTATTTAACTTTAAAACTAATAATGTCTTAAAAAATAATTAAACCAGAAAAATTTCAAGAAGGATCGACTTAATTTTAATGGTTTTAAAACTTTCAAGGGCTTAAAATACACCATTTTCTTAGAAAGAAAATGGGTTGGTTAGTAATATTACGTTATTAACCATGAATCTGAATTAAGATTTATTATAAAAACAGGTTCTTTTAATTCAATTTAGTTTATTTACAATAACGTCATGATTCAAACTTTTGATCTTTCTTGACGGATTTAATGTCTTATTATTGGTTTTATTCTTAATAAATATTATTGATGGTAGAGTTTGATGTGGGCAGTTAAGAAGCAAGGAAGCCATAAAAGTTGTTCTTACAAAGCCATTTTCAATAGATGGTGAATCAGAAGCTGATTACAGGGCTCCCAATTTGATCCAAAGAATACTCTCTCTTTTCAAGAATGTACGGCCAGGATCTGATCTCTCCCACTTCAAGGTTAATTATTGAATTCTTTTCACATAAGAATTAATGGCGTTCGTTTGATTATTTGATATAGACTTCTTCTGTTAGTAGACGTGAATTAATGGCGTTGTTGTGTTGGTTCAGCTGCCACCTCTGTTCAACCTGCCCAAGTCACATCTTCAATGCTATGGGGAACAAGTGTATTGTACCGGCACCGACATGCTGACTCGATGTAACGTTCCCGACAACCCCCTCGAAAGATTCTTGTCGGTCGTGGCTTTTAGCATATCCACGTCTCGTCCTCTCGTATTCGGGGTCGTCCCTTTCAATCCAGTTCTCGGCGAGACTCATCACGTCTCTAGGGCCACACTCAACGTCGTCCTCGAGCAGGTGAGGTTTCTGGGTTTATTGCTCTCTTGGGTGATTTATTTGTCTCATTTTACTCCAAATTTGAATACAGATTTCTCACCATCCGCCGGTTTCGGCACTGCATGCTACTGACGAGGAACATAATATCGAACTCATTTGGTGTCAACAATGCATCTCCAAGTTCACCGGTTCGTTTTCGTACCTCGTTGGCTTAATATATATATATATATAACTGTTTTGGTCTATGTTTGATGACAATGATGTTATTATAGGTGCTTCGGTGGACGCCGAGGTCCGAGGGAAGCGACAACTTAAGCTCCGGAGTCGAGGAGAGACGTATGAAATGAACTCCCCCAACCTTTTGATAAGATTTCTTCCGTTGCCCGGAGCAGATTGGGCTGGAAATGTTGGAGTCAGGTGCAAAGAAACCGGGTTCGAAGCCGAGCTACTATACGGATCTAAGTCTTTTCTTGGCCTTAGAGGAACCCACAGATCAGTTAAAGGAAAGATCTATGAAACATCAACAAAGAAGATCCTTTTCGAACTTAATGGCAATTGGGATAGGTATTTAAATGTTATCCCTTTCCCTATCATCTTCCTTTAAATATCTCATATGCATTCAATGCAGAACAGTGACAGTGAAGGACAATAATAGTGGGGAGTTGAGGGTTATCTACAATTCAGAAGAAGTGTATTCAGGGCTGAGAACTCCTGTGGTTAAAGATCTGCAGGTAAATTCCTTAATGAATGGAAAGGAACATATATGTTTTTTTTTTTTGTAGGAATGAGTTTGCTTTTGTGTTTTGTTAGGGGGTGGAGTCGACCGAATCGGCAGCCGTGTGGAGCAAGGTAAGTGAGGCTATAATGAGTCGAAATTGGGAGAAAGCGAAAGAGGCGAAGAATGCAGTCGAGGAAAAGCAGAGGGAAGTGTTGAGAGGAATGGAGTCCGAAGGAAAAACCTGGGTTCCCCAGCATTTCGGTTTGAGTTGCAGCAAAGATGGTGTCTGGGAGTGTTCACCTACTCAACAATGGGTTCCTCCTGCTCCTATTGTTGTTCCTCTTACATAATCTTATTTGTAAGAAAATAATCAACACAGCCTTAAGCAGCTTATACTAAATAATCAGCACATAAACGGTTGTAGCGTAAATGATTTGTTTCTTAAAAATCACATCATCTTTAAAGAGTTTCCACAGCTCTTATTAGATTCGTTTATAACACCATCTTTCATTCCCTTGAAGAAAGCGAGCCCCGGTTTCGTATTAGTTTCGCCCTCGTCCCTCTCCCTGGCAGCGATTCAATCGAATCCCAAGTCTGCATTGAAAGAAAATTGCATGAGATCAGGTGGCGATCCAGCAGTTTCAGCTTAGAGACCTCAATCACTCGAAACCGTCCGAATTGAAACTTACAAGTACACCATTTCGATGACTGGTAGCAATGCACTCGTCTCCATGAATTCATTGTTCTCTTATTCTCCCTATTCTCCCAACGATATTCTTCCTACGATAGACCGAATATACCTCTCCCTTCACCTCAAACATCACAATGGGACTTTTTTTTTCTGGAATAATTTTTCATTATTAGACAACTATGGCCATGCCAACCAAAGCAGTCTTGATCAGGGAGTTACGGATGGTGATATCGAAGAAGGTAGGCGTGTCCGGAAGGAAGAAGGTAGGCATGTCCGGAAGGAAGAAGGTAGGCATGTCCGGAAGGAAGAAGGAAGCCCGATTTGGAAGAAGATGAAACTTAACAAGAAGGAACCAAGACTAAGATGAATTTGGCAGAAGAAAATGCCAAAACAAATAAAAACTATAATATATAAGAAGTCTCCGTTGATGTCGACGAGGATGAGGCGGAAACGGAGAAAATGAGCATGAAGTAAAAGATTTACAAGCACGAGGAAAATCTAATGTAGAGCTAGTGCGAGCTAAGACTGCAGGACAAGTCGAAATGAAAGAATTGGCGGATGTTAATAACGAAGCTAAAGAAGAAACACCAGGTTTTACTGTTTATGTAGGCCAAAGGCCAACAAGCACGGAAGAAGTCATCAATGATCTTGAAGCTCAATTCATGCTAGTTTGCGATGCAGCGAATGAAGCATCAGTAATGCTAGAGGCCAACAGATTCAGTCCGAGGATGAGCGAATGAAGTATCAATAATGTTAGAGGTTAACAGAGTTCAGTACTCGTCATCCTCAAATGAGCTTACAGGTTGAAACTTACATCATTCTGTTCTTTTTTCAATTGCATAGGCTGTGTTAACCTGAAAACTCAACATTCTGCCTTGAGTTCTTAAATTTCAACATTGTTGAAAGGATTTATGTAGAGAAGGATGTCTCATTTTACTCAATTGCTGCATACCGAATACCAGTGAGAGAAGAAATTAAGAAATACCTATTAAAAAACCTGCAACACAATTATAAGCTAAACTGAAGAGAAATTTCACAAAGAAAGACGATGGCAATTAATCAATGGTGAAGCAGCTTTTATTCATGTAGATGAACTTTTCCTACTTTTCTGACAAATTAAATTTACAAACTAAATCAGTGTACAGTCACAAGGATGCATACAAAAGTTTGATGGCATCCATTTTCCAAAAACTTCTTGTTATTCTTGAATCACTCCACTGAAAATTGAACTCGAGTATTGAAATCAAAGAAAAGTATACAACAGTAAAAGAGAGATGAAAAGAAAAATGTGCCAGGCTCCTTGGTCCTTGTTGTACAAGGATTACATGATGAAATCATGCAGACAGAAGATTGGCGAAGTTCAGGCTCGAAAGATCATAACTCTGAACTAAAAGCCTCTTAGCCAATTTCAATGAAATCCAGTATTGATCCTAGAATAGGAATTAACCACATTAATCCTGAATAAGTTGATTCAAAAGCCTCTACAATAGCCAAAAGATATATATTCAGCAACCTTCATGTCACATTAGTTGAAAATTCATCCTGGTGCCAGACTTTTCATCTCCCATGTATCCCGATGTCTATGTAAAAGAGACTTGGTAAATCCATAAAGGTATGCATCCAAATCATACCTGTGAGAGTTCATTTGATTCAAAATATCAAAGGCAAGCATGTGTTTATCTTTAGACCGAAGAAGAGACCTAAGCAAATAGTTGCAAACTCGAGGCATTAACTTGTAACCCTTTTCTAGTGTATATAGGAACAGATCAACTGCCTGGTCCAAATTTCCTTCTTGGCACAGACCAACTATCAACTTTACACAACTAGGAGGGGGGACAGTAATCTTTCTTTCATCCAGAATAAAGAATATCTTTAAAGCTTCTTGAACTTTTCTTGCTTGACAGAACCCAATAAGCCAGATTGTATAGGGTGCTAAAATAAAATTATTTAATTTGAAGTCCAGATCGAGCAAATGCAGAATTGCCTTTTCTACTTCTCCCTCAACAAAATGTTTTTCAATTTCTTTGATAACTGCATCTTCCCGACCAGGAAGGCTGCTCAGATGTTTCAACCAAAGATTAAAAGCTAATGAAACCTTCCTTCTTCGACATGACCAAGTCATAAGTGATTTATAAACTGCCAAACTGGGTTTACACCCATTTTTTTCCATTTGATCAAAGATTCTAAAGGCATCCTCTTCTCTTCCAGCCCTCTGGAAACCATTAATAAGAGTTCCATAGGTCACACTATCAGGAGAAATCCCCTTGAGTTGCATCTCCTTGAACAGCTTGAAAGCACCATTAATGTTGCTTTCTTTGCAAAATCCATGGATCAATATGTTGTAAGTAAAGATGTCGGGTACATTCCCACCATCAGCGAGCTGCATAAGAATCCTGTATGCCTTAAGAATCTTTCCAGACTCAGAAAGTTGCTCGAGCATAGTTCGTAGGCTTGAATTGTCAAGAACTCGAGAGGGTCCATGAGAAAGCCGAAGAAACAATGAAGGATTTCTCCCTATTTCCATTTTGTAAAACAGAAGGTGTGCTTTATCAAGCTGACCAGCCATAGAAAGCCCATGAATAAGAGCATTAAATGTATGAACTGAGGGATAACATCCGAGCTTTTCCATCTCATCAAAAATTTGCTGAGCCTCCCCAACCAACCCATTCCTGCACATACCACTAATGAGAATCGTGTAAGTGCAGGTATTAGGAAAGCAATCATGTTTTGAAATCTCAAGCTTAAGGGAACGTGCTTGATCCAAAAGACCAATGCCACAAAACCCTTTAATCACAGCATTGTAACAGTAGGTGTCGGGAACTAAACCTCTTTCATTCATCTCATTCAACAACTTCATTGCATCATCAACTTTGCCTGCTTTGATAAACCCTGGAGCATGATTGCATATAAAACAACATCAGCTTAATATTCTCCTCAGTCATCTTTCTATACCATTCATTGGCTTCCTCGTATCTCCTAGCTTTAAACAAACTGTTAATAAAACTACTATAACAGCGTAATTCGAGTGCAAAGCCGTCCTTTTGAAAAGACTGCAAAAGTGCTATAGCTTCATCAACCCGACCCAACTCACAAAATCCATGAAGCAGAGCATTATAAGCAACAAAATCAGGGGAACACCCACTCTCCTTCATCTTAACTAACAATCTACAAGCATCATCAGCCCTTTCAGCTCCGCACAAAGCCGAAATGATTATGGTATATATACACCTATTTGGCTCTATACCCCTCAGAGACATTTCATCGAACAACTTAAGTGCATCCTCAGTTTTCCCCTCTTTGCACAGGCCACCAAGCAAAATACTAAAGTAGCTTGATTAGGCGCATGATTAGATTTCAGCATCTGATTGTAAACAGCTAAAGCTAACAAAAGGACCTTCTTACGAACCAAAACGTATAATATAGCATTGAAAGAAAACAAATCAGGCTTGCAATCAAAATCTTTCATCTTCTCGAAACACTCCACTGCTTTTTCCTCGAAACCCATCTTCGAATACCCCGAGATCAAGATCTTAAAGACGTTGGGCACGATCACAACTCCGCATTCCTTAACTTCCTCGAGAGTTTGCCAGAACATGTCGAAGGCATTGTCCTTGCGGAGCAGCATGTCGAGGACGAGCTTTTCCGATGCGTAGCTGTGTAGGCGCTTCCTCTGCATCGCCCAGATGAAGAAACGGAAACCCATTTGAGGGTTGGGTTGGTTTCGGATAACGGATGTGACGATATCGGGAGAAAGGAAAGGGAGCAGAGGTTCCAGGGCGGGTTCCACGGGGTTAACAGAGTTGAGAATGGAGTGGATTTCATCGGAAACAGAGAAATCTTTGAGGGAGGAAGAGGGAGGGGTGCCGAGAGAGTGCAATTTGGAGGTCTTGGAAGAGAAGTGAGTAATTGGGCGGAAAATGAGAGACTGCAGTTTCATTACCAAACACTGAATTGAGAGTGAAGTCTTTATCGTTTCGCTATTAATGGTTTTCGAAACAAGAATACAACAAGATTAAGGGACAATAGGCCACGACGGAGGAGAAGGTTGTGCCGGTGATGCACAATTCGGCGGCGGAGGCGGCGCTTCAGTAGGTTGGAGATGGGGTTTTGGGAATTTGGAATGCAGCACCATATGCCCATGTCATTTGGGTGTATTTTTCTGATCGAGGAAAGAGAAGTATTAGTATTACTATGGGTTAAACTTTTTGGCATAATATCAAAAGTTGCCTCCAATATTTATGAAAATATCATTTTTGGACTTTATTCTTATTTTTTCATAATATTCTGACTTCAAATATTTTATTTTAGAGTAAAAACATCATTTTAAGAATGAAAATCATTAGTTAACAAACAATTAATACTAAAAAGTAAAATACATAGATTTTTATTATTTTAAAATAAAATGTTGAAAATTAGAATATTCTAAAGATTAAAAATAAGGACTAAAAATAATTATTTGATCAAACATTACAAGCCTTTTTAATCATATCATTTTTTTTTATAAATTTAGGGTGATTACAAGTGGCAAAATGGCTGAGATAATGTAAGTGAGAAATTTTAATTCCCAATATAATCCACCTCGGGGATTATTTCTCCATTTAGGGTGAATTGAACAGTATCAACCTAAAGACGCCAGGTGCTCCACGCGTCTTCAAGCTAAATATGAAGACTTCATGATTGCATGACATCTTCAGAAAAATGAAAAAGACCCTGCATGGCGTCTTCAGGCGAATTGAGAAGACTCCAGGAGTGTACAGCGTCTTCAGGCGAATTGAGAA